AGCAGGAAAGACGCGACTGAGTCCAAATTTCAAGCTCTTTTTGATTTTCTAGTGCGGATTATGAGATCGTGTAGTGGCAATTTCTTCATTTTTGAGAAGATCGCATGGTGGTGCTTTGACAAAATGAGTGTACAACAAAATTGAGAATGGGCCAACGGTGGCACCGCTAAAAATTCAGCTTCAATGATCCTTCTTACAAGCCCTTGGAAACCCCGTTCTTAATCTCTTAAGACGTGGAGATGTTACATCAATGTTCGGATCACAGTCATCTTTGTCTCCTACAAAGTTGAAAGAAAACAGAATCAGCAGCTGAAAGGAGACAATTACATTGGTAAATAAATGGTTGCGAGTAAATTTTAGAACATAATGATCTTCTGCCTTGGAAGAAGTGAACTACCAATGATCACTTACTGTAAACCATAACAACCGCATTTAATGAGCTTAGGAAACATATCTACAACTCTTGTTTTCTACTGCTTCTGTATGATATGCTTGCAGTAACCACAAGAAAAATAAGGGAAATAACAAAATGGTTCACAAGAAGAGATCACTGAAAGGAATGAATGCAGCAAAGATACATGGTTGCACTTTCAGCATTTGTAACGTACTGAAATATTTCAACTCATCTTCCTCGGAAAATCAGAACTGAGTTTCTTATAGAAATGGACAGAAATTCATATCTCAACGAATTAATGCTCTCTCAAATGTTCAAGTGAGCTTTGGGTATAGGGGAGATATAGTCTAGTTTTGGAAAAACGTACGCTGTGGGGATGTTATTTCATTGTAATTGACTTTTTTTTTTTAGGATACTTTGTCCTCTCTTCTTTAGCCAGATACAACCAATCAATAAAAAGAGGTTTCTTATTTAAAAAAAAGAAAAGAAAAGAAAAGAAAAGATGAAGAGTAGTCAAACGTCTGATTGTATCGTTCCTAAGTTTCACAGTTGAGTTTCGTTTCTTTTTTTTTTTTTAAGTGAACTTTTGTATAAATTTCAGATTTAGCAGTGGTAGTAGAATTTGATGTACTAACCCTTAGATTCCGTAGAGTCACTGTAATTGTATCCAGAACGCTTTGCAGACAATGTAATAAGTCCACCCTCAACTTTCTTTTCAGGTATTTCGCAGCATCCTTCAAACGGTTTCATATAACAAAACCTGTTCAATCAAAACAAATTAATTAGTTGAACAAATATAATCGGATATTCCCGCAGATTACCTGTAGTTATATGAAGAAAGACATGTGTTTTCTATTAAAGCTTCCAAATTATCAAACAGCAATACGAAACAAAATGCTTCCAAAGTTGGCAAGAGCAATACAAATCAAACTTTTCCTTGCTGTCCTTGTCATAACAATATTTGACTATTTTCATATACAAATCAAGTTCACATAAATAGCTCACGTAATATAAGAAATAACACGAAAGTATATACCATTCTAGAGGTAAGCTTTTAGTGTTAAAACCAAGGCCCAACATCCTCCACTTCCTGCACTTATCACACTGCACCCATTCATGGTCGGGTTTGTAAAGAGAGTTCCTCTTTGTCTGGAAAAAAAAAAAAAAAAAAAAAAAAAAAAAAAAAAAAAAACCTTGATTAAAAAAAGCAGGCAACACCATCAGTATTAAAACATATATGACAACGGCCAAAGCTTCATGTTTTAACTCGGAAAATTTTGAAGTTGAAAGAAAATAACAGTTCTAAACTGGTCCTTTGTAAAAGGATCACCTCTTTTGTAGAAAAAAAAAAAAAAAAAAAAAAAAAAAAAAAAAAAAAAAAAACCTTGATTAAAAAAAGCAGGCAACACCATCAGTATTAAAACATATATGACAACGGCCAAAGCTTCATGTTTTAACTCGGAAAATTTTGAAGTTGAAAGAAAATAACAGTTCTAAACTGGTCCTATTTAGTCGCATCATACCCTGAAATTTTAACAGCCTACAGACAACATAAAGAACAAGCTGCAGCTTTGTTTTAGCAGAAAAGAAAGAAAATGCATGTTCGTTATTTTTCATGAGATTACTTTTCATTATTCTACTTGGCAGCGAACAGCATTTTGGTCCCTAAACTATAGGCCAAATCCAATCTCAATCCCTAACTTTTGAAACATCCCAAAAATATAGGTCAAATCTCATTTCGGTCCCTTACATTTTAAAACTTTTAGATCGGGTACTAGCTAAAATTAGGAGATTAAAAATGGAATGAACCCTTTCTTTTACCCGGAAGCAATCATCACAGTTGGGTTTTTTTTTTTTTTTTGAAAGCTTAAACATTTTTTTTGAGGGATTAAACTTTTTTTTTTTTTGGTTACAAAAAACAACTTATTTCATTGATAACCAAAAAAGCACAACAAGAAAGATGACATGGGGTCCATAAGCAAGAAACAACAACCGAAACACATAATAGCAAGCAGCTGCGCACACATCCCAATCCCATGACATCACTGACGCATCCGTTACAAAATCAATTACGAAAGCATAGACGCTCAGTTGCATATTTTTCAGAGATTTTCTGCACTTTGATATATTCTTCTGTAACAACTATAATTAAATCTCACATGGAACATGAATAATCTACTCTTACATTTGCCTTTCGGATAAGAAACAAACTGATGGGTTCCCTGGACCCCCATTACGTTTCACCTATGCTCGAAGAAGGCCTAGAAGAGTTCGGGTTGATATGGCAGCAAGGGTTGAGGTGGAGGCTGGTGAGGTGGAAACGGTTAGAGGAGAAAAAGGGGTTGACATGGAGGGGACGCAAGGAGCTGTTGAGCTCACTGCGGGGTGAAGAGAGTGATGTCTCGGATCTCGAGAGGGCCTTGGAAGAGGTGAAGGGAAGAGGGAAGCGGTTAGTGAGAACTTAGGAATAAAAACAGAGAGAGGAGGGTAGGAGGGACATTGAATCAACTTCTCTATAATTGTCATAGACGAGCTTAGGCTCTAGGGAGTGCAAGGGGTCGCTCAAACACCCCCATATTTTCCTGTAATTCCGTCGATAGTTGAAGTCTTAACCAATTCAATCCGATTGTTTCCTTACAATTACTCACTTTCTGTGTGAATTCTCAAATTTCTGAACCTAAGTCTTAACACAAACTTTATTCAAAAACATGATGCTGCAAAAGTACAGGGCTTCAGGTAAAGGAAAAGAAAAATGAAACTGTAGCAGTCTATCAGCTCTGAAAATTAAAAACTAAACCAACAACAGCAAAATAAAAAAGAGCCCCCTTAGAAATGTGACTCCCCGCAGTGAACAGGACTCCAGACATGGCTTTTTTATAAGAAAACTTCCTCATCAAATGGTATCAATAAACGTGGCTTTTAAAAAGCATATCAACCTACTATTCTATTTAAGATCAATAATAGAAAGACAAATTTCATGTTCAATTCAAGTACTTTACCAGCTGCAGTTGATCAAAGTTCTTATCCCAATATTCATCTGCCTTCAGACCGAGCCACCATTCCAAATGGGCATAAGATTCAGAGTCCTGAAATCCTTGCTTGTTATTAAGAACCCATACACCACCTTTTCCATCATTCTATGCCAGGAAAGATTGATTAGAGGAGAGAAAATAAGAACACATAATTGGAAACACGAACGTAAAAAGCTTTAGAATTTCATAGTTGACCAGTTATAAGCAAAACACATCAGAATCAGGAATATCTTGGAAAATACGAGTGCAAATGGAAAACAAAATTCTTGTCATTAAAAGAAAACAGCGTCAGCTGGTCTTGTGAATAGATGAAAACAGCATCACCATTTTTACTAGCCTATCCTTGCGTGCTTAAGGAACAATAGAAGAAATAGTCACAAAGAGTTGTTAAAATCCTATCCTAACTTTAACAAAGCTAGAGCAAGTTACTTCACAACTTAATTGACAACCTGCAGGTTGAATTAGTGAACAGAATCTCAATTAAAGCACTTATTTTAGTTGGTAAACAATGGTTTTCTGAAAACTCATTGATGAAAATGAAAAAATGCAATCTCAAATTCTCGATATTTGCTCTGTCTAGACATTCTACTTGTTTGGTAATCCCAACTTAAGACTAATTACAGATAGCGAGTGAGATAAATTAATACTTAAATACAAATAGCTAGTGACTCTTAACTTAAGAAAGAATATTGTTTACCATTAGATCAGTAACATCAATCACACCAATTACACCACGACCCATATCTGCACTATGAATCATCCCACCAACTCTCTTGTAAGCCTGTAGCAGTGAGAATTAAAATGTTAGGAAACGAAAAACGAAAGAAAACATATAAGAATATTTAGAAAAGGAGCATGAAAGAGTTTCTGCCCATATACACATTCTATACAACGTGCAGTCATGAAATTGGTTGGTATTTCATTCTAATCCAGAAATATAGGATATTTCATATCCTAGAGAATTAAAGTACATGATTGTTATTCATTCCCTTGTAGTCTTTCATGTGAAAAAGTGAGGATTGAGCCACTAAGAAAGTCTAACAGATTCCTATAAAATAAGTCATAAAGTATTTACAATCAGTAAGCTAAAAAACGATTTGAAAGTAACACAAACAAAAAATTTGAACAAATCAGTAATTATCGGGCCTAATTCCTCAACACACATTATAAGGCTGCAGAAGTAAACAAAGCCTTAGAGACTGAAGAACAATTCAATTGCTACCTTAACATAAACAAGAACAGTTCAAACAATTACTCTTAAGGGAGAGAAACTTCCCCTTTTCTCTGATTTATTAGAGATTGCAGTATAGACCTGGGCTGAAACAAACTATAACATGACTAACAAGAGTGACTGGATATAAAGGATAATATGCGGGGATATAGAAGACTAACAAGAGTCAAAAGCAAAATGGAGTCTAGCCAAGATAGACTAAAGATGCATGTTTCCAAATTCTACATCATTTTATTGAATAGCAACTTACCTCAATTAAACGACCATGCCAATACAAGAATATTCCACAGTTTGCCTGCTCCCATTCTAACTGGCTTCGACCAAGAGTTAACTGAACACGCTTCCCCATTATATGTCCAGTTTCTACAGTAGTCTTATTTAGAAATTTCTCCAAGGGTCGACTTTTAACCTGTTTAAATTTCATGCTAACAATCAAAAAGAAACTTGGGGCGAATACCAATATCATCATACAACAAAATTACAACAAGAAAGATATGGTTACCAGAGAACCTTGGACATATATCTTCATTCTTGGAACTAAGAAGATAACTTCCAGATAAGATTGCAGTGAATAGTCTAAAGGCACCTGAAAACCAACAAGGACAAACTATAAACCTGATAATTGACTGGCTTACAAAAAAGACAAAGATGCCAAACCTTTTGGCTTATCTGGCCAGGACGAGATCTTATCCTTCTAGAACGGATGTATATATCACCTTGGTGGAAAGAGCTCCCACCAATTGACCCACATTGCCATTCTAGACTATAATCTGAACCCCACTCATCTAAATTCCATATGTATATCTGTGTTCCTGCACGGTCGGGAAACAGGCCCGCGTATTCACCAATAAGATACTCATTAAATGGTGAAAACTCTTTAATGGCTTCCAAATTGTACTTTGCTAGAGCTTCAGACTGTACAGTTGTATCCACTTCCATAACCTTTCCTTGTCTGCAGTAGCTTACAATAGGAATCTCAAGATTCTGCATTGAGAATTAATTTTAGAAAGAAAAAAAAAAATGTGACATGAACTGTTAAGTGTTATGGTGCAAAATTACATGAAAATAATATATGATGAATCATGAGTGTCACTTCATAGTTCATACATCTTTTCCTTCATTCAAAGACTGAAAGAAAAGCTATTGATCTGGAGCTAGCAGTCTGGGTAAGAACCAAAGCATCCCTTCCAAGCCTCATTGCTCCAGTCTGGGAATACACAGAATCAGTGAAATAGATTTCATTTAAAAAAAATTAAAATAATTAAAAAATAATTAAAAATAAAAATCATACTGACATAGACCCATCCAATTTAGCTTCCACTTGTTTAAAGTTAACAAAAACCCTGACCAAACGAACAAAAATTATTTTCATTCCAACTGTATGCCTTTTCATATTGATGCCAACCTTTAACATCTCCAAACAATGTGTTAAAGGAACTAGTATGAGACAAAAAGCCAAAAATAAATTGGCATATCCAAACAGTAGTCAAATTGTGTCATTGGTAAATGTAATGAAATAAACTTTTACGTAAACCCCAAGGGTAGCTCAGCCATGGACCTCACCTTACAAGAAGGGTTCCGGGCTTTGAGTCCCTAAGGGGCCATCCACAAGGATTTATTCCAGACTTTTCAAGGCGCAAATGGGTTATGGCCCAATATGCACCCAAGGAGACTATAGGCACATATGACCTTCCGACAGCCAAAATAAAGAGGACTTTAATAAGATTTCAAATTGTTTAATAGATTCAGAGAAAACCATAGTAATTGTGCCCAAGGGGACTATAGTCATCATAATATCACCTGACAGCCAAAAAAAGGGACTTCTATATGGTTACAAATTGTCTAGAAAATTCAGAGAAAACCATTGTAGCTTATATAAATAGAAATTGTTAAGAAGTTTCCCTAGAAAGACAATTAGAATGACCAGAGACCAAGAACTGTCCATTCTCAAACCTAATTTTACCTTGAATCCAATACCAAATCTTCCAATGCGCTCTGGTTCATCATTTTCAGGTTGTTTGTGGCCAATACTTGTCATAATCACAACATCCTGATGGGTCATCCCGTGTCCATCATCAATTACAGACAGCAATGGAATATCTTTTCCACTTTTCTTGTAGTATATCATCTCAACAGAAATTTCCAGTCTGCCAGAATGCACCAATAGACTAGTGAATTGAATAATTATGATGCAGTTATCTTATCTCTAAGACTGAGAATACATTACGGCATAGTAGCATGAAGTAATAGAAACGGTAAGGCTGATATCTAAAACAAGTACGAAACCAGAGCTAATAAGGGGAAAATAGTGTTGGATAAGAAATCCAACTAACTTAGTTGCTTTAGCATCTCTGGAATTATCAACAAGCTCAGCTATTGCTCCAAAAATCCATCCTGAATGAGCCTGACCAAGTGTCTTCAAATAACTCGGGTCTGCTCTCGCATAATTTTTCTCCAGAAATCCGTCCTGCTTTGGTGCACAGAGCTCAGGTCTACTACAAGCTCCAACTTTTGGTGGGTAAGAACGGTCTCTAAAAGCTTGTAGAAACTTACGATCAGAGGAGTGAAAAACTTCATTGACAGCTGAATCTCTTTCATTCACATATACTTCTGCACTGCCAACAATTTCTCAACAAAATGAATTCGGGGAGTGGGAGCCTCTCTTAATGGTGGCACAGGTCTACAATAAATGCAAGAATGTTTTGGAGAAGTAACAAAGTATTCACAGCCTCACTGGTAATTCTAATTTTTAAGTGGAATGATTCTACGGTCAGTCAAAAAGATAACTTTAGAGAGGATGTGTCTCAAGCAAAGAATAAGCAAACTTACTTGGTTGAGAAGGATTTGGACCATGATGGATGTTATGTGATTTTATTGTTCGGTATGCAACTGCAGCATTAGTTAAATCCAAGGCTTCAGCTGGGGAAAGTATGTAAAATTCAAACAGCTCAAATCTTACGATTGCAACCTACAAAAGGATACTGAATATAGTCAGTTTAGAAGATGAAATGATCACTAGAGCTTTTTCGCAATGATTTTAAAAAACTTCGTGAGCATGAAAAAATTTTCAAGTTATAACTTATAATCAGCTGTGATACTAAATTATTAGCCTTTTCCAGAAAGCTATTCCATTATGTTAGGAGTTGTTTGGTTGGGAGATTCGTACCCCGATTCGAATCATGGTTCGTGGTTTGTTACAGTGTTTTATCTCACAAAAAAATACACGTAAATCGAAAATAGTTTTAATCTCATGATTTTAATCCATGAACCAAACGTCTCCTTAAACAAAATTAGGATATAAGAAAGTAAAGGAACGTTGCAGAGACTTAAATCTTCGTATCATCTACGTGGTCTGCACCACATCCCCCTCATACTATCCGAAAAAAGGGTCCTATCGGAAACAAAAAAATGTCATCACAAACAATAATGATGAGACACGCACAGAGAACCAATTATGTGTACATAGCTTCCACGCCAAACCTACCCTATTTTGTTTAAAAAAGTGAAATCATAGCAGAGTCGACGAACCCAACTTCCAGTGTACGTACGTACGTATGTATACTATAAATAAAATGGTAGGATGGGCGATTAGAGAAAGGAACTTGGTTAATCTTAAAAGGGCAAAACCATGTCTGAAAATATTTATATGTATGTATGTACGTATGTATGTTTGTATGTAGTTTGAAAAGAAGAGCTGGAAGATTTTTCTTATTTTTTTCTTGCCCCTTCAATTTCTAGGTAGATTAACAATCATGCAACTAGAGAGTGGAACACTTCTTATGGTGTAATTCAGCTAAAAATTAATGGTCTTAATGTATTGGTGAAATGCATTTAAAGCATATAGGCAAACGAGAAAACATAAAAAAGAAAAATGCAAGTTGGAGAGGTCACATAATGCATATACTGTGAAGTTACAAGTTCTGACCCTGTTATTTTCTTTAAGATAACTCATAAATCGTCCCCACTCTATCTGGTCACGATGATTCTCCGCAGCTGGGAAAAGAATAAACTGCGGTAACTCAGCAAGAAAAGGTAACTTTGTCCTTCGAACCATTTCAGCCAAGCTCCAGCAATTAGGCCTATTGTAACTTTCACAGGCACAAATTAAAGCAAACAACATAAGAGACATGTTGAACTGCTTAGTCATCTCTCTATCAAACTTGCAATTAATTTTAAAAATACTAATAAATTATACACTAGATGAGGGCGGGGGACATAATCATATCTTTAGCAGCCTAAAAAAGGGCAAAAGAAAAAAAAAGCTACATATTATTCCAAAAATTGGCATACTATTTCATGGAATAATGGTAAGAGAAATAAACAACAGCAGGATCATCACATGCGATGGGTAAAATAAAACAGGTATGAAAGAAAAACCAGACGTGCTTCGTTTCCATAACTCAAAGCTATATCCCCTTGACCCCTTTTTTTTTTTTTTTTTTTTTTGAAATGTGTATCCCAGGACTCGAACCATTATTAAGAGATGATAGAGTATGTAATGCTTGATTCTTGAAACGCTTAAAACAAAAATTTTGATCAAATAAACATAAGTCACACTTTTAGTTCTTTTGTAATACTAAATTTGAGTTATAAGGAGAAATTACCTTTGCATTTTTTTGTTTGTTGGAAAACCAACTAAACAAATTGAAAAAGAAAAAAGTATGGAAGGCCAATTCTTTTATAGCGACAAGATTGGGTGAGATTTATTTGACAAAAAGAAAATACTCCACCAACAAAGGGAAAAAAGAAAAAAGAAAAACACTAACATTAAAAAAAAAAAAATATATATATATATATATATATTAACGGGAGTTGGAGGGTGAAAATGTGAGTCAAGTACATCAAAAAATAAATAACTAAATAAATAAAACGTGAATCGAGGACATTTTTATTTTTATTTTTATTTTTTTAATAAAAGGAAGAAAGCATACACTTCAGGGGGTGGGTTATAACATAGTGTCCGACATATAGGTTTTCCATCTTTAGTGAGCATAAAATATTGCTCCTGAACACCTGCACGTATCGAAAGTTATAAATTATTAGTATCCTTGAAGAACACGCATAGAAAATACATGTTCATTATCTCATTTAACAATATGATATGACCACCATTTTATGCTTAAAAAAATGAAAAGAAGGGTACAGTTTTCTTCCATTTTTCTTTTAATTTAACAAGATCATGAGAATAAGAAAATCTCCATCTTTCGGTTCACTATTCATTTATAAAAGCAAAATACAAACATATTATCAAACAACCTTCCTCTTTCTATCCTGACAATTGAGCACTAACCTTTACTTGGAGTATGGCCCAAATTTTCCCCCATTGTAAGCCTGTAATTCCCAAAAACCAAAGAATTAGGTTCAGCCACAAACAATTGCCGAATCTTCTTTCTTTTTCACTTCACAACGTATAGTTGCTAATTCTTAAATTGTTCACGTCTGGAAAAATAAAATTAATTAGGAGGATAATGAGAAGTATAGCTATTCATGTACGGAAGAATTTTAATCCGTAGAAGCAATTTCTTATGGTTCAAGAATCAAATGTACTGTTTGGAATACAAGAAACCATCAAGAACACAGTTAATATATATATATATATATACATATACTATTCACTGGTTGCAGTTATATGAAATGAGATTTCGTTAATGGAAGCTTCAATTTGATCATCCAAGAAAAATTTTCCCCAAAATTAAAAATCATTAAATCAAAAAGAAAGAAATTTAACCAGCTCTGTAAACCCTAAGGCAAGCTCAAGTACATGAACATTGCGTTCCGAAATTGAAATTCGCGAAAGATGAAAGCAAAACCCTACCTTCAGTTCATTTCAGAAGAAACTTTTGGGGAAGAGCAAGGTGATCTCGACAAGCCATGCACAATAACAACGAGGAACGAAAACTTGCGTTCAAAGCGAAGCTCCTTCACCAAAAGCGAAACTCCATTGACGCTGAAAAGCAAGCAGTAGAGGAAATGCGGCTTCTCTTAGAGAGACGAAGAACAGCGTTTTAGAGAGAGAAACAGAAGATAAAGAATCTCCGACAAATGCAGAGTAGGGAGATTCTTGTGCGAGAAGCGTACGGCAATGGCGGCGCAAGTAGACGGAGCACTAGGGGAGCGAGAGCGCCGTTCGAAGACGACGACAGTACGGACGGGAGGGACAGAGCGCGCTAGAGGCGGTGCTAGAGAGAGAAAGAAGAGAGAGAGAGGAGTTTTCTTTCGTTCTTTCTCACAGAGCCGTAGTGATGGACGTTCGAATTTGGAAACGAGCGCCTAGGAAGAAGTGTGAAAGAGTGAATGACGTCTCTCTGTTTTTTTAATTGCACGTGCATCCCTCAGGTTTCTACTATCTTGCGTTCAGTATGCATTCAGTGCCCTCCCCCTTCCCTTTTACCAATTTCCATTTCAAAATCTCTCAAATATTTTCTTTCCTCCCACTTTTCATAAATACCAAACAAAGGGTTAATATTGCCCCTTGTTGAGACTCTTCGAACTAGTGATTTGAATCGTAACTCAAATTTTGTGAGAAAAATATCATAATAAAATTTTTAGAGTCCGTTTGGTTCATGAATTAGAATCATGTGATTAGAATTATTTTTAATTTTCGTATATTTTTTGTGAGAGAAAATACTATAACGAACTATGAACCATAATTCGAATCAGAAAATGAATCCTCCAACCAAACAGGCTGTTAAAATCAAAATTGTTGTCAGAAGAAACACTATTTGAACCAATTTGGGATGTATTTGAAGAGCCTATCTTTCAAACGGATTCTTAAAGCTTATTTGGAAGAAGGTTTTGAATCTCAGTTTAAAGTTCTACTACAGTATTTTCTTTTACAAAAGTTTCAAAAATTTGAATTATAGTTCAAATCAGAACCAAACAAGCCTTGAGGTTCTATTTGGTAGAAGGTATGAAGAGTAAAAAAAATAGAAAGAGTTAGAACTAGGGATGATAAATATAAATAATTCTTCATATTATTTAATAGGAGGGAGTGGAGTTGAAATGATGAATGATAATTATTTATCTAATTATTATATTGTTCACTATGCGTTAATAATTTTTTAAATGATAAAAAACACTTTTATTAGATTGATTAAATGCTTTAATTAGTGAAAGGATCCAAATTCATAAGTCCAGCAGGAGACTCTCTCCCTTTAAAATTTTTTTTTAATGGACCGGGTGTACCACGTCATTAGACATGTGTACCACACAAGTAAAATGACTTGATACACCCAGTTCACTGAATAATTTATCTTTGAAAAATATTAACATCATTTTTTCTGTCACTCTCTGTATTAACTGTTTGATACGTGAACTCCGATAACATGATATATTATTATTTATACAAAAAATGAGATAATGTAGTCTACATATCAAACAATGAGTAAAGATAATGACAAAAAAAAATAATATTAACATTTCTCTTTTCTCTTCCCTCTATGTCTATTCTTCCTCCTTTCATTTCTCACAACCAAATAATGGATTCCCTTCACCGCTCTCTCTCCACCTCTTTCTCTACTATCAAATATAGTGTGAGGCTCCATTTTGTAGGAGAAATAAAAAATAAGAAGGATGTGGAGAGTTGAAAAGAAAGATGCATAATTATTTACTATTTACTATATAATACTTATTGTTTTTATTCTTTATTTTTTTTTAAAGATAATGGTCTTTTTAAAACTTTAATTGATAGATTAATATATCTTTACACAGAGCCCGTTTAGTTGGAGGATTCGTTCTCTGATTCGAATCATAGTTCATGGTTCGCTACAGTATTTTCTCTCACAAAAAACACACGTAAATCGAAAATTATTATAATTTCATAGTTCTAATCCATGAACCAAATAAGCTCTAATAGAAGCGTGCAATATAGTAGGCTCAGAAGGAGAAAGTCCCCTCTTCTCTTCCCTCAAATCAAATAATAGGAAGAGACTCTTCTCGACCATTCTCCCTCCTTTTATCTCCTCCATGCAATATAAAGCTCACGTCAATTAAAATAAGGTATGCACGATAACCATTTGTTTTTACGTATATTTTAATAAGGATCATAAATTTTATGGGATTAAAAATGATCATATTTTTAACCATAATGGATTAGAAATTGATTAACTGATTGATTTTTTTATTAATCACTTACTGGCCAATATCAATCAAGTTTTTAACCAATATCAATTAATAATTTACCGTTCAATTACCGATTGACCTTATATAATTGGAGAAATGCTAGCATCACTTATTGTGTCACTCTTTTTGTCACTCTTTACTTTTATTATTTGACACGTAGACTCCACTAATATAATATATTATTATTTTAGCATAAAACAAGATAGTGGAGTTAATGTGTCAAATAATAAATGCAGAGAGTGACAAAGAGAACGACAAAAAGAGTGATCTTAGCACTTTTTCAATATAATTAATCATCTCATTAATTATTTCAATAGCTACTGCTATTTAATGAAAGAAGCGACAACCACCTGACTTAGGGTGTGTTCTTTTACACCCAAACTCGAAAAATTTTTGGACTCAAGTTATAACTTACCACCTGACTTAGGGTGTGTTCTTTTACACCCAAACTCAAAAAAAAATTTAGACTCAAGTTATAACTTTATTCAAGTTCATGTTCTTTTATAAAATTTGAGGGTGTGTTCAGTTGCCTTAACTCACTCGGGAAGTAGGTACTCGAGTCAGTCTCTTAGGTGAAGTTAATGTTTGCCACTTGTGTACTCGAACCAGACTCAGAAATTTACTCAAGTCAACTACCCATTTCTCGAGTTTATCCTCCCCATCAACTCGAGTTTACTCCACTGCTCCGCTACAGTGCATATTCCTTCGCGTGCGAATGGGGCAATAACATCTGGAAGAAAACCACAAAGAACAGGAAAACCGCGACGGTGCAAATCCATTAGAGGTAATCTAGCTTCTTGAAGAGGAAGAACCGCGAGAATCTCGATCTTTGTCTCTGCAAAAATGGGTTTCTGTCACTCTGACCGGTAAACGACACCGACCGGTAAAAATGGGTTTCTGCAAAAAGAGACCGGTAAATGGGTTTCTACAAAAATTGGTTTTTTTAGCTTATTCCCATCAAATAAAAGGGAAAAAAATGGAGTTTTGATTGAATTTCGAGAGCTCTTTAATGGGTCAGAGAGAGTTGTTTCGTATTCAGTATTTTTTCTTTGAATTTATCAGTCTCTCTCTCAATTTGCTTGTAAAGAGAGTAAAAGAGAGGTCAGAGAGAGCTAGGGAGGTAAGAGAAGAGTAGAAGAGCAATTGACGTGGATCTTTATTGAGATTTTATTATCGAAATAATTGGAGGAAAAAAATTATAATTTTTTTTCCTTTTTCTTTTCTGAAAGTAGGAATAAATTGTCAGTACTCAGTTTTTTTTTTTTTTTTTTTTTTTTTTTTTGAAGAATCTAATATTTTGTTTTTATACTTATTGCTACTTTTAATTTATATCTAGTTTCAATGGCATAAAATTAAATAAATTCAAATAAGAAAAAAAATATTTTTTCTCTTCCCACTGTTTTTACAATTTAAGTTTTATTATACACTCAAACACAAACTCAAAAAGATTATCATCTCAAACCATACATCAAATGTACATAACCAAACACAAATTCAAGTTACGACTTTATCTCAAGTTATAACTCAAATTCAACTCAAAAACTACACTCAAATTACACTCTACAAGAATAGGCCCTGAGTTTGAACTTGAGTTAAACTTGAATTTGGGGCTAAAATCTGAGTTCAAACTCCTCCCCTTAACTTAAGTTTTTAAACTCAAACTGAAGTTAATGAATAATATTTTATCTATTCTTAAAAATATCATAACTTTTTCGTTTTTAATTCCAATTGAGGTGAGATGATTTTTTTTCTATACGTTCACAATGAAGAGACGAGCAAAATCTCACCCATATATCCTATTAAAATTTTCTATCATCATTGAGTTTTCATTAAAATATTATCTAAATATAAATTTTGACCCACCCAAATACAAACTCAAATAGACCCTCAATTTAAATTATAACTCAAATGTGTACATTTAAATACAAACTCAAATTAGATTCTCAACTCAAACCATATTCAAATACATTAACTCAAATCAAAATTTAAACTCAAATTACCACTTAAAAAGTGCAAAAGATCTCAATATGATCGTATGACATTATATTTGAGACGATATAGTATTGAATGGACATAAAAAGAGAGAGATGAGAGTCAAAGTTGGGTAGTTCTCTCTCTTTGTTCTTTGTTTTGTACTTTCAATACTACGATTCCTTTTCAGCAAAAAATAAAATAAACATTAAAAATAAAATACTACGACTCTTTTATTTATTTATTATTTATTTGGCTTCAAGTAAGAGAAATAACCGCATCTACATACCAAAGTTTCCAATAAAGTGCTCTCGCCATTCATAACCTTCTCACCCATCAACAAACCAAAATTTCAAAAAAAAAAAAAAAAAAAAAAAAAGAGAGAACAAGAATATGAAATTTGTAGATAGGAATTCCAACAATAGATCTTTGATTTTAACCGTAAAATCTATATTAAAAGTTATCTATTCAATATATTTTTTCTTGATATAATTTTCAATGTTTATTAAAATTTATCTATTCTATATATTTTTTCTTGATATAATTTTCAATAACATTTAACGATAAAAAACATACACTATCAATATGGGATCCTAGGATAGGACCCAGAAAAAATGACGGCACCTGTATCCTATTAACCCATTGTTATGCACCTGTTGGATCACATCTGCGAGGTCTATGAACGTGAACAACGTGTGGTGCAGCTGCATTACTATCCTCCACTATTCTGGAAGCATTCTTAAATTAAATAAAAAAAATCTATGAAATAAAAATTTTCTTATTTTTTTGAAATGGTTATATTCATCTTTCAATTATAGAAATACGAAGATGGAATTAGAATATAATTTAATACTACACAGACACCAAACATATAACAGTATTAAGTACCAAGTACCATTATTTCAGCAGTTTAGCTCCCCCGTTGACTGTTTCAAACACCAACCACCATGAAATGAAATACAATCACTGCAAAACTCCTCTTGTCCCAGAAGCAGGAAAACAAATTTTCATTGAACATCCTGTTAGCGTTATTCATCACCCCCACCGAATCCTCTCTATTCCAGCTGTGTGTGTTAGTACTAGAATCAATTACTAGTAGCACTAGAGTTCTCTTTTCTTCTTTTTCAACCATGCCCTCATTCCTATAGTATTAGCTGCAGCACGTGCACCGCGACGAATCTTCGGTTCCCAAGTCAAGAATTGTCCAGCACCACTTAATCAATCGATCCCCGCATAGTTGCAACCAGTATTTATTGGTCTGAATTTCTTCACAGATAGCAATACACTTTTCAAGCGGAGTTTTTCAAGAATAATGATTCACTTGGTCCTTGGTAGAGTATTCAGTCACCATGCAACGACCAAATCCAACCAAGCACATGTCATAGCCGAACCTGTTGTCAAAATTTCAAAACCCCTTTTTGTGATTGCTATGCTTCTCAAATTCCATTTATTCAGCTGCAAGGGATTCTGTCTGTTTCTCTCCCACATCCACCATCTTGAAATGAGGCTTAGAAGGAAACACAAAAAGAGTCGACACAGCATTCGATGGTTGAAATGCCGTCGAGTATCTAACCGAGGTTACGGTAAATTTGGGCAACTGTTGCGCGCCTGAGGCGAGTGGCACAAGCTTGTAACTGAGGATGTTCTCAGATTTTGGAAGAACATAGATGGTATCATTGTGCGACCCACACAAAACAAAACTTTGTGCGTCTGCCAATGACAACTTAAGCTCTTGAAGCAAGTGAGTTTGGTTCTGAACTTTTATATAGTACGTAAAGGGATCTCCCAGAATTCCATAAGGAGGACATTCCAAGCTCACAACCAAAGATGGCAACTCTAGATTCACATCGGGAAGTATTTGTTTAGTCAAAACCGAAGATTCTGTTGAGCCAGGTTGCTCTCCAGTCCCAGAATCTCTTCTCCATCTTACACATACATTTCCTAATCGGAGCTTTGGAAGATTCACCTTTGGAGTGATACTAAAAACCTTCTTAAACTCTTCTCCTGGCACAACAATTGCAGGATCTAAGCGGTCGCTGCCATGTTGCACAGAACACGACATTCCAATGTCATCCTCATCTGCTTCAACAGATATGGACATCAACTGCAATGGTACATCAGCACAATTTTTTGCACCAACAACGAGTACACTCGTTTCGTTCAAAGGCAGTGTTGTCAGCTGATCAGACTCAGGGACTGGCTTGGTTCTCGAGAGTAACAATGGGTCACGACGGAATGGCAACATAAAACGGTGGCTTATTAAGATCGCCGTCTTTCCTTCTATTTGTAAGCTCTTATGAATGTTAACTTTATGAGCAGTTGAATCATCACCATCTGGTGAATAACCCAGGGATACATAGAGCATAATCGGTTTTGGCCTGTGCCACTTGATTTCCAGTTTGCAAGACCATGAATCACTGCATTTCAGAAACGGAACAGAAACAAGTCCAAATGATTCTTGTATTTTCTTGATTTTCTCAACACCCTGATCAGATTCATCTTCCCCTTCAGGTCCAGATATGCCAAGAAGTTCAACATGAGCATTATCCATAGAGATATGTTCTGATTCCCTTGGACTGAACAAGCCGCCGCCTCTTACATCCACCAGATTGATCTTCAATTCACCGGAATGAACATCATGGCCCTTACTGGTCACAGTAACAGGTACCAGAAAGCTCTCTCCAACAAACGCAGGGCCAAAAGCACCTAAGTTAAGATCAATTTGGGGTTCTGGTTCCTCAACCTGGATAGCTTTCTGCCCAGTGAATGACAGAGCAGGATCCTTGGTTGGATGAGTTTCCACACGGTCTTCAAACTTCCAAAGAGGCAAATCATTCATTGAAGCAGGACTTTCGGCTCTGCAACAAATTGTGAAGTGGGGCCCCATTTTTGCAATAACAGATATGCATTCAAGCTTTCCACTTTGATCTGAAATAGCCAAAGAGTTTCTATTATCATTAAAAAAAAAAAAAGAGAAAAGAAAAGAAAAGAAAAAGTGGGCAGACAAAAATAACTAAAGGGACAGATAAAATCACAAGTCATAAAAAATGGGGATGACAGAATAATCCAATTCAATTGGATAACCAACCAATCCAAACTAATCCATCTAACTAGATTGGACTGAATCTAATTGGAGTGGATTGATTTGGATTGGTTAGTTCTACACAATTGGAGTGGATTGAAAAGAATTTGAATTCTGAAATCAAATTAGACTAAATAACGTCGGTTGTTAAACAGAAGAAATCCACCAACTGAACCAAAACAACCAATCTTTTTGGTTATGAGTTTGTGTGTGTGTGTCAAAACTTTTCTATTCTCTTCTGTTGTGCCTAAAACCAACACCCAAGCCCAGACCCAATAGAATTGCACTGGATTCGATGTCAATCAAAAAGTGGATTGGGAACTAAAATGAAGAAATCCAATTATTATTGGATTGTATATCTTTAAACTCCACAGGATGCCAAATCCTGTGTAATTGCCAAGCCTATAGCATTATTTTAAAACCTTAATATAGCAAATAGGTGGGCCGATGTAACCTAATCTAAACTGATTGCTAGGCCTAGAACATTAGTGTGACACTCGGACAAATTATGAATTGCAGTCCCAAAAATTCATATGCAGTTCCAAAAATTCATATGCACGAACACGTTTGCACGCCATTCAAATCTATTGATTAACTCAAATGAATAGCTACGCAATTGGGGCATGTTCAATCTCACACAAAACAAGGGCGTGAACTATCATTTAAAAATACTTTCCTTTGGCCAGGTTCTGGGAAAATACCCTAGCAACAACACCCAAGCATTTCCGAATTCAAACTTCCACTTATTCTATTACCTAGTAAATAGGGGTCAGTATCGGAAGATTCGAAATGCATGGTATAAAACAAATGTAAATTAGCCTTATTTGAATGGAAGTGACAACAGGAGAGCTATTGATTTACCAGGTTTGACATCATATGTCAATCGCAGCCATCTATTTGAAGAAAGAGACAAAGAGGGAGCAGTCTCTACTCGGTGACTGTCTACACCACTTGCACCTGATGGTGCTTGTTGAGAATTCACAACAATAAAGTTACAAGCGGGCTGATTGAACTGGACTTCTAATTGGTCAATCACAAAAGTAAGGGGTAGCTGTGATAGAAGTGATAGTGTTATCAAGGTGGACGAACCAGGCTTGATTATCTGTTCATGGAAAGCAACTGAGGCAAGAAGAACCAGTCTAAGGGGACTGACAAGATCAATCTCAAGATGAAGTGGATTATCTCCAGTTACTTTGAGGTCAGTTTTGTTTTCGGTTTCTGTCAGCCCCAACTCTCCACCAATGAACCCAAAAACTTCATTGTGTATTATTTCCTTTTGTAGAAGACTAGCAGGTCCAGCCGGGCCACATTCTTTTCTGGAAGACTGGACACCAGTATCAGATGAGATAGGCAGTGCAGCCATCTCAAGGGAATACTCTACAAATTCTTTCATCATACTTTGTTTCCTCGAGCACTCTCGTAAATAACCCAAGACCTCCCACAATGGAGTGACCCATCCCTCTCGTCTGTATAGACTAGCAATGCCATCAAAAAGCTGTTTTGCATTGCTAAAATCACCCACACCGTAGTATTCTCTTGCCATTTGGAAACCACAAAATGCGCCAATTCTATGGACTTTGAGATTACTGAAATAATCATAAGATTTCTTAAGCAAAGCGATAATTTCAAAGGAATCTTGAAACCTTTTCCCGTCAGAAATTGCATAATGGATATACTCTTCATCAGTCAGGCTGAAAGACATCAAAAGAATCTCAAACGTTTAGTGCAAAACCTATAACAGAACAAATTCAAGATTCAAAGGGAACATCATAATTTTCAACTAAGACTTACGGTTGCATGACAAATTCATTTCCTTGCTCAATCAATCGAGCAAACTGACCAACATATGTTGAAGGGACCACGGATTCAGCACTACTATCAGTGGCATTAAGAGTTTCAGATATTGAAACTGCAACTTCCAAAGAAGTCCTCTTCTCCTTTAAGTATTGAGCAGCTAACTGTTTCAAGATCACGTCTTCATTCATATAAGCCAATGCAAGAATTACAAATACAAGCATCTAATTTTGTGAATAAAATCATCGATACCAACATAAAGACAGCAGTAGTACAAATCAAAGCAGAAAATCAAACGAAAGATAGAAAAGGTAGAAGAAACAAGGAAAACAAGGTGCATGTTTGGAACCGTTTTTGAAAACGGGTTTCACGTATTTCGAGTAGCAAAAAATGAAAATGAAAACAAAACGACGTTTGTTTAGCAAATGTTTTGAAAACGAAGTGAAGGAATTAGAAAACAATTGAAAGTTGTTTTCACTTTTCTGTTTTCATTTTTGAGTACTTATCAACAATATTATAATATATTAATTAATAAACACGATTTCACTTTTTTATGTTGAAATCTTGCCTTAGTTAGTTCGGATTTCCAGGGCTGCATTATTCTATATTAGGATAGCTAAATATTTTGTATTAAGTTACCTAATTTACGTTTATTCTCTTTCCTTATTTAGGCTAGATTGTTTCCCTTATTCTGTTCACACGGTTGCAGACTGCAACCATTTTTCTATATATATAGCTGTAATTTTTCATTCAAGTAATAAGAGAAAATTAGAGAGCCTACCTTTTCTCTCAGTAATTTTCATGGTATCAGAGCCTACCTCTGAAAAACCCTAATCCCTTCTTCATGGCCAAATTCGGCATGGCTACTAAGAGACAAAGCTCTACATCCGAAGTAACCTCCAATCCAGAAACTGCCGCACCAGCATCGAGCAGCCATGGAGGACCGGACACTCCTTCTCTTCTCATCACCGGCCACAAACTCAATGGTCAGAACTATCTCCAATGGTCCCAGTCGGTTATGATGTTTATCTGTGGGAAAGGCAAAGATGAATATCTCACTGGTGAAGTCACCATTCCAGAAAAGAATGATCCCAAATATAGGCAATGGAAAACCGAGAACCATATGGCAATGTCATGGTTGGTTAACTCGATGAACAATGGGATAGGAGAGAATTTTCTCTTGTACTAAACAGCACAAGAAATCTAGGATGTTGTTAGGGAGACATATTCAAGTTATGACAATACTTCATAACTCTTTGAAATCGAGGCTAAGTTACACAATCTTCGCCAAGGAGACCTCACGGTCACTCAGTATTTTAATACACTCACTCGCTATTGGCAACATCTTGATGTATTCAAAGTCCACACATGGAAGTGCCCTGATGACACAGCCCTCCACCAGAAAATTGTGGAGCAAAAATGGACGTTCAAGTTTCTTCTCGGCCTCAACAAAATTTAGACGAAGTCAGAGGAAGAGTAATGCGGACCAAACCTTTTCCTAGCATTCGTGAGGCCTTCTCAAAAGTTCGACGTGAAGAAAGCAGGAAAAAGGTGATGATGGGATCTCAGGAATCTACTCCAACACTTGAAGGATCTGCTCTTGCAGCACGAGGACCGCCAACAAACAACAATATTGACAACCGACAGAGGAGAGGAAGACCATGGTGTGACCACTGCCGCAAACCAAGACATCTCAGAGAGAATTGCTGGAAAATTCATGGCAAACCCGCTGATTGAAAGCCCTCAGGACCAACAAATGACAAAGAAAATCATGCCTATGTTGCTGCCTCCAAAGAAGATAGTCTAGCCGCAAGTGAGACAAGTCCTTTCACCAAAGAACAACTTGAAGTCCTACAAAAGTTTTTCAGCCAGAATATTCAACCTCAGCCAAGTACTTCCGTGCCTGAAACCAGTATGTTAGCACAAAAAGGTAACCTTCCAATGGCTTTTATAGCTAATAAAGGGCACGTGAAATCATGGATTATTGACTCTGGAGTGTCAGATCACATGACGGGAGATGCAACTATATTTCACCAATACAAGCCATCCAGTGAGAACTTACCATCCGAATTGCTGATGGTTCCTCATCCAAAGATGAGGGAACGGACTCGGTCCAAATTACTAAGGACTTGATTCTAAACTCTGTCCTCCATGTTCCTAGTTTGGATTGTAATTTACTTTCAATTAGTAAATTGACCAGTGATTTAAATTGTGTAACTAAATTCTTTCCAAACTTGTGTGAATTTCAGGAATTGGATTCGGGAAGGAAGATTGGCAGTGCTGAGATGTGTTCTGGGCTTTATCTACTCAAAAACAACACTCCTCTAAGTAGACAAGCTCAAAATGAAAGTGGTGTGTCCTTTAAGAGTCAGTCAGTTTTAAATTCTTATGTCAATAAAGATAGTGAAATTATGCTATGGCACTATCGTCTTGATCATCCAAATTTTATGTATCTAAAAAAACTGTTTCCTTCTTTGTTTATCAATAAAAGTTCAATGCCTTTTTATTGTGAAATTTGTCAACTTGCCAAACATATTCGTAGTAGCTATCCTAGTCATTCGTATAAGCCATCTCAACCATTTGCCTTGATCCATAGTGATGTCTGGAGCCCCTCAAGAGTAAAAAACATAACAGGAACTCGATGGTTCATATCATTTGTTGATGATCACATTAGATTGACCTGGATATTTCTCATGAAAGAAAACTCTGAAGTAGGTCAAATTTTTCAAAATTTCAATTCCATGATACAAACTCAATTCCAAACCAAGATTCAAGTTTTAAAAACTGACAATGCCAAAAAATACTTCAAAACTATCCTTGGTAAATTATCTCTTAAGTCAGGGCATAGTCCACTTAAGCTCTTGTATTGATACTCCTCAACAAAACGGGGTTGCAGAAAGAAAAAACAGACATCTACTTGAGGTAGCTCGATCTCTCATGTTCTCCACTAATGTTCCAAAGTATTTCTGGGGAGAAGCAGTTCTTACGTCTGCATACCTGATCAATAATGCCCTCCCAAGTTCTCCAATTCCAAACTCCTTATCGAATCTTTCTCCAAAACTACCCACATACCAAAATTATTTCTTCCTTAGATCCAAAGGTATTCGGGTGTTTAGCATTTGTTCATATCCATCAGCAAAATCGTAGCAAATTAGATCCTAAATCCATCAAGTGCATTTTTCTCAGGTACTCCTCAAACCAAAAGGGGTACAAGTGTTATTCACCTACTACCCAAAAGTTTTACAACTCAATGGATGTGACCTTCTTTGAACATCAACCCTACTACCCCAAATCTGAAATTCAGGGGGAGAACATGAGGGAATATCAGCTTTGAGATGTTCCAGCCAATACTGAATCCTATTCTGGTCATTCACCACAATCCAATGAATTCTTCCTGAGACTATGGATCATATACAACCTGACAGTGAATCCGAGAGTCAACAACCACCTGCAAACTCACCACAAAATCCAGTTTCTAATCCATCCACTCATGACCACAATCACTCCAAATCACCACAAACTGCAAGTAAAGAGATGTTAGAAGGAAAAGGCCCGAAAGGGAGATAGAGCACTCAACTCCTCTCGCACATGTTCAAGAACCTGTACTGAATCCAAAACCTGTTCAAATTCACTCAGGTAAGGAAACTTCCACTCTTGAGATTGAGAATGAAGCAATTGCCACTGATGATTGTGATATGCCGATTGCTCTAAGAAAGGGTGTTAGAACATGCACACAACACCCCATCTACAACTTTGTCTCCTATGGAAAATTATCTCCATCTTATCAGGCATTTGTTTCGGCTCTTGATAGTGTGAAGGTACCTAATTCTATTCAGGAAGCTCTCAAGAATCCAAAGTGGAGGAAGACAGTTGGTGAAGAAGTTAGAGCCTTGGAGAAAATGGCACATGGGTAATCTCAAATCTCCCTCCTGGCAAGAAACCAGTTGGCTGTAAGTAGATTTTTACTGTCAAATATAAGGCTAACGGTAGTATCGAAAGACTAAAGGCCTGCCTAGTTGCTAAGGGCTTTACTCAGTCCTATGGAATAGACTACCAGGAAACATTTGCTCCAGTTGCCAAACTCAATACTATCCGGGTTCTTCTTTCCCTTGCAGCAAACCGAGATTGGCCATTACACTAACTGGATGTAAAAAATGCATTCTTAAATAGTGATCTGGAAGAAGAAGTGTATATGGAAATGCCACCGGGACTGGAAAAATTCCCACAACAGCAACAAAGTGTGCAAGCTTAAAAAATCTCTGTACGGCTTCAAGCAATCTCCTCGTGCATGGTTTGACAGGTTTGCAAAGTCAGTAGTGAGGCATGGGTACAACCCAATGTCAGGCATATCATACACTGTTTGTGAAGTTCTCTCCAGAGAAGAAAATAGCAGTACTGATTGTGTACGTTGATGATATTATTCTAACAGGTGATTATGAATGAGAATTATTGAGATTGAAGAAGCTTTTGGCCAAGGAATTTGAAATCAACGAGCTCAGTGAGCTAAAATATTTCTTAGGCATGGAGGTGGCACGATCCAAGAAAGGAATATTCGTCTCTCAACAAAAGTATGTTCTGGACTTACTAAAGGAGACATGCATGCTAGAATGTAAGCCTGCAGACACTCTAATGGATTCAACGAAAAAGATAGGGACTGAAGAAAATAGTGCTCCAGTAGACAGGGGGAGATATTAGAGACTAGTAGGACGACTAATCTACCTCTCACACACACGACCTGATATTGGTTTCTCTGTTAGTGTTGTAAGTCAGTTTATGAACAACCCAACAGAAGAACATATGGCAGCTGTGAACCGGATTTTAAGGTATCTTAAGATGACACCAGGAAAATGCTTGTTATACAAGAAGAATGATCGTAGAGATATTGAAGTCTTCTCAGATGCAGACTGGGCAAGAGATATCTTAGACAGGCGATCTACATCTAGGTATTGTTCCTATGGGGAAATCTTGTGACTTGGAGGAGCAAGAAACAATCTGTAGTTTCAAGAAGCAGTGCAGAAGGTAAATTCAAAGCACTAGCTCTAGGTATCTGTGAAGGAATGTGGATACAAAGACTACTTGGTGAGCTAGGAGTACCAAGTGAGAAGTCCATCAAGATGTTCTGTGACAACCAAGCAGCCATAAGCATTGCAATGAATCCCGTGCATCATGACAGGACAAAGCACATAGAGATTGACAGGCATTTCATCTCAGAGAAGATTGAGAAAGCAATTATACATCTGGTCTACACTCCTACCAGATTCTAAACAGCTGACATACTCACTAAAGCTCTTCCACGAACTAACTTTGAAGAACTGAATCGCAAGCTGTGTATGGATGATATCTACAACCCAGCTTGAGGGGGAGTGTTGAAATCTTGCCTTAGTTAGTTCGGATTTCCAGGGCTGCATTATTCTATATTGGGATAGCTGAATATTTTGTATTAAGTTACCTAATTTCTGTGTATTCTCTTTCCTTATTTAGGCTAGATTGTTTCCCTTATTCTGTTTGATTTTTATTCTGTTCACACGGTTGTAGACTGCAATCATTCCCCTATATATATAGCTGTAATTTTTCATTCAAGTAATAAGAGAAAATTAGAGAGCCTACCTTTTTCTCTCAGTAATTTTCATTTTATTATACGCAAAACAATCTCTTAAAAACCAACCAAACGCAATTTCAGAATCGGTCCCAAAATGATTCTCAAAACAATCTCATTTTTACTTTTTATTGAAAACAAAATCATTTTGAAACCAATTCCAAACACACCCACGTTCTTAAAACGTGCAGCTGCAAAATTAGTGAACAATGGCATGCAGCCTCAGTTTTGGGACTTCACTTCAGAAGAATACATAAATGTATGGGGACATGCACATCGCCAAGCGAGTGAAGTCGTTATTGTTATTGTTAGCCACCTACTTCATAGTCTTCCAAATTCAAATTTTAGAATGAGAACTTTAGCTATTACTACTGTTACATCCTTTAACTTCCCTCAAACATGACATGTCTGCATATGCACACAATATGGACATGTGTGGAAATATGTGTGAGTGAGCTTAAGAACACGCATACAGATATTAGGAGAGTTGCAAAGTTATATGTACAAACAAGTTTTTATTTTTTCCCTTTTCTTTAAAAAAAAAAGGCGAAGTACTAAAACATGTTGCATGACAGGGGAAAGGGGTTTTGTTTATCAATTTCTCTTTGTTTGATACGTAACTCTACAATCCTTCAAGGTAGAGAAACACTCACTTGATAGTAATTAGCTGGACGGAATTCCCACTCGGTCAAAGATCGCTCCGCACTACCAACAAGAAATGAAATATTCTGAATGGTTGCCGAACTTGTCTCCAGTAATTCGGCAAAGACCAAAAACTGTCTGCTCATCCACTCCCAGTGAAGAAAAACAGCTTCTGGTGCTCCTACGAGCCTTGTGTATGAAGCATTGTGCCGACGGAACCACATAACCACTTCAGCAATCTTTCCACCATGCAACAACAATGTTGATATCTTGAAGTGCAGTTGTTCCGCAATAGTTTTTATCTCAACTAACCGTTGGATTGCAGGTAACCTAGTTGATGTCCCAATCATCTGTATACAACATTGCACATAAACCAAAAAAAAAAAAAAAAAGAAATGTTACCAGAAGTTCGAGTATTGTAGACTTATGTATAACTGGATGTTTTACAACCATTCCAACACAACAGTTGTTGATCCGTAACAGAATCACGTAAAACATATGTTTTGATATGTAACATGACATCTAGACCTCAAACTAAAATCAAGAGATATAATGCTTTTTTAACTTGTCTTTAAGGCAATAATCAAGGCGCATGTATGGTTTTATTTCTAAAGATTGCAGTGTTATTAAATATTTTATAATAAATAGTCTCGAGATGAAACCAAGCTTCCCAGATAACAGCTCAAACCACCAACTCGTCATTGCATAATGGTGCTACAAGAGCCTATATGATTTCTTAATTGACCATAGAAGGTAAAAAGTATGTTACAAAAGGAAGATCTATCCACCAGGAACTTGAGAAGCTAACTTCCATCAAAACCAACCAAGTGCAAAATATTTTGACCAAAAGGTATCACTAAAGGATGCAGGATTAAGACAGTGAAAATAAAGAGAGGTGTCGGTATACATACCTCACGAAGTGTGTGGTAGGCATCCTCATAGAATCTTATAGCTTCAGCCCAATCTCTTCGAAACTCTGCATAGACGGCAACCTTGCATGTCCAAGCAAGTCAATCATATAATAAGCAGCAACATCAAAATACTTTCTAAAAAAAAGTTCAAGAAGAAAAGTTCCTACATTCTTAATCATTTTAGCGTTTCTTTACCGAAATCCAAAATTAAGCCTGCTCACCTTGAAGCAATAACGAACGTTCAACTCAACTGAACTATAAATTTTCTTCTCAATCCGTGTCTTAATCCTTCTCCCTTCATCTCTATAATACGTGTTTGCAAGTTCTGCAAATATGCTGCTCAACCTGCACCAATGCACAGGGCAAATTGATTAAACATTTTCCTTTCCTTTTCGTTCTTTTTTTTTTTTTTTTTTTTTTTTTTTTTTTTTCTCTTGTTTTACTAAAGCAAACACAAGGTCAAAACTCAAAAGGTCATGCCTGTGAAGAGATTGTTTCAGTTCAGACTCATCATTTTGGGCAAAGGTAACAAAGTACTTAGAATCCATCTCAGCACGCTTCCGTAGAGCAAGCATTCGATCTTCAGTGATGTCATCTGCAACAGAGTTCAAATGACCACATCATCAAATTTCCTCTTGTTTCCAAAACATCACAATTTGTGACCACAACTAGAGCATTACAATTACAAATTCACATGTCAATTCTAATACCACAGTAACTCAAACAATTTTATCACTTTTCTTCTCAAATCGGATATATTAGCAAAATTCTCAGACTAGTTTATAGCCCATTACACTTTTCAATTTACAACTTCAAATTCCAATTCTAAGACCACAGCAACTCAAACAATTTTATCCCCTGTAATACGGGCGATCAACAAAATTCTCAACTAGTTTTTAGCATATCACAACTTTCAATTCACAACTTTATATGCCATTTCTAACACCATAGTAACTCAAATATCATTTTTCCCCCCCTCAAATGGGCTATTACCAAAATAAAGAAAAAAAAAAAAAAAGCTTAAGCTTACCCACCCTTTGAATGAGAATGCACAACCACAAGCACCAATCTGATATTCCTCGCACGAATCACCGCTCTGTCGACCAAAAAATAAAATCCCACTTCCCACTCAAACCAAAAGCAAAAAACAAAACAAGAAAATATGAGAAATAAAGAAAGAAAGAAATCGAAAGTACTTGAGATTGTCGAGATCGGAGCAGAGCTGGAGCCACTGGGCAGGATCGCCGGAGACGCAATCGGAGGAGAAGAAGGCGGCGACGACGGAGGGGATCTTGGTGCGGTGCTTGAGAAGCCAATCTCGCTTGAGAATGCCGTCTGGGTTTGGGCGTGGAATCTGGTCGTCCTTGGGCTTGGAAGCAATGAGAAGAGAGATCTTGGAGAGGTCGGGCAAGGCCAGGGAGTTGATCGGAGGCTGCAGAGAGTGGAGGTGCGTCGACACCGTCTGGTGAAGCTCCGGGCATCCCGCCACCGCCACCAAGCTCACCGGCGGGCTCCTCATCTCCTCTGGGTATTCCTCCATTGCTCGATAACCGATTTCTCTGTGAATTCTCGTAGTCTTCTTCTTCTTCTTCGACTAATCTAATAATTGAAGAAACATGTTACGAGGATTTTGGGGTGAGCAAGGGGAATTACAAGTTTTTGCAAGGATTACTTTAAAAAATGACCTCTGAACTATGCCATTTAAATCAATTTGTATCGTATTAAATTATTACATTATATTATACCATCTTGTTTTACCCTCATATTATATTACGTATTTAAACTTTTAAGAAGATAAAACTTAGGCCTGACTTTGGTCTCGAATCTCGATCCCTACCCAAAAACGAGAGGGACGAGGAAAGAGGTAGAGGAAATCAATATGGGATCTTTTGCAAAATTTTTAAATTTTGGACTAAAATGTAGTTTTTTAAAATTAGCAGGGTCAAAAAATCATTTTATAGAAATATAGGGATCAAAATATAATTGTATAAATTAAATGGGTCAAATTATAATTTAGGAAAATTAATTATTTTATTTGACCCTTCAAATTTTTTTTTTTTGTTTTAAAAGTATACTTCAATATTAATTATATATAAAATATAATATACGTGTATATATTTTTTGCAAAACACCCTAGACCTAGTCCTCTAATTTGATACTGACCCGATCCGGACATCCGACCTCAATCACGGTCCCTAAACTAGACCCTAACTTTGGCCTTAAAACCCTACCTCATCCCTAGTCTCGAACACTGACTTCGGACTTGGAACTCAATCCTCAACCTCGACTTAAGTCTTGGTCCTGAGTTATGATATTTTTGAAAATTTTCATTTGTTTTTTTAATACGGTCGTCTAAGTTAAATTATACAATATGATTTAATACAAAGTTTTTTTATATTAAACATTGCGGTTAATATATTGTAGTAAATTTAAATTTCGTATTAAATTATGCGATGAATATGTATTATCAAATATCGTATTATTCTTAAATAAAATAACACAGAGGGTTAATATAGTATACTAAACTTGTCCTTACGTAACTTTGTAATTTTTACTGACTTTAAATTTTAACAAGTGAATTATATTCTATTGAAAGAAGAGAAATATACAAATAAATATGGAAAAATAAAAGAGTTAAAAGATAATTGTCCATAATTTCAATCTATTTTTGTTCCAACTTCCAATAAAAGAGTTGTTAAAAAAAAAAAAAAAAAAAAAAAAAAAAAAAAAAAAAAAAACCCTTTCCCCCCCATATCTCCTCTAGTTAGAAATGATTTATTTATTTATTTCTCTCTTTCCATTTACTAATGCAATAAAAGAGAAAGTCATGTTCTTTTTTCTTTTTATCTTTCAATCTCCATTTTATACCTTTTTTTCCCCCAAAAAAAAATCTCTCTTTTATTTATGTTTTAATTCTTCCTGCCAAAAGCAGTTAAGAATGTCAAATATGATTATGCTTAAAGGGAAGTTCTCCTCCATTTTTAACAACTCTTTATTCTTTTATTTTAGTTGAGTACTATTACATTGAATGAGCAAAGTATGACAATATAGTATGAAAAAAGGCTTTATTGGGCCTAAGACTACTTGGTCTAGTGGCGTTGGGAGTTTTGAGGAGGTTACCGGTTTAATTACTTGTTGTATTAACAAAAAAAAAAAAAAAAAAGCTTCATTGGTAAGAATAGTTCTGAATCATCACATTATAGTATAATAAAAAAAAATGACTATTTTACTAAATTGAATGAAAATCTAATGGTTCAAAGATGTGGCTACATTTGTCTTTTTTTTTTTTTTTTTTTTTTTTGCCCTATCAGATACATGTTTTGTTTTGGCTGTCTGATTAAAAAAGAAAATCAAGTCTTCTTTTTTTCTTTTCTAGACAAATTATATGGCTGCCCTCTGAATTATAAGCCGTGTCATAAAATGTCCGCGATATTTTTTTTTTCCTTCCAGAACTTTAGTGGTTGCTACAAATTTTCCCCTCTGTTAAATTCTTAATGAAAAATATCATGTAAAATGTAAAAATTAATTAAAAAAACTCCTAATTTAAGATTTTTAACATAAATAATGCGTATTACACAAATAATGAGTATTATTTTAATATTTTAGAAAATAATTACTTTGTTAGTTCTTTCATATGCAGTCACATGAAAGTGTAATTACACAACAAGAATTATAATTTTTTTTTACTATACCTAACTTTCTCTTTAATTTGTTTGACCTAAGGATTTTTGGGATCATAAATGACGGCAACAACGATAACGAAAGTAAATATTTAATGAAGGGGAAAATTTTGCAAGAGTACTTATTGATGTTCAAGGGAAAAAAAATTAAAATTAAAATTTAGGAGACACAAGTGCTATAGTTTGAAGGACAACCATCTAATTTGTCATTTTTTCTTTTAATATCAGATCTGAACTCGGCAGTTTGTGATGTCATCAAATATAGAATTACCATCCCTTTTTTTTTTTTTTTTTTTTTTTTTTTTTTTTTTTTTCTGACAAGTGCATCAAATCCTCTTTTTGATTCACACAATTCTACAGCCGTGAAGTTTGGTCACCAGTTTCCTCAAATCCTTACGGAGGGGAAGGTCAACAAAACCGGTCAAAAATGGAGATATCAGTTACTCCATCGATGACAATGTAATTGCGTATTGTTTGCGTCAACTATCATGTGATCATTAGATTTCATGATCAGCTATGATGTGCCGCGTAACTCTTATGCCAAATTTCGTGAGATTGAAGCCTTTGACAAAAGGGGATCAGTGAGAAATGTAATGGCTAACATTGCTGAAAGAGTTTGTAATAATATTAGGGATAAAAATGAGATTTTAACAGCAAGATCTGAAAAATAAAAAACTGGTGGGTCTATGTTTTTTAAATCTTTATATCTGTATAAAAAATTATCCATTTTATATACTTTTTATTTTAGTGTGATTTTATATTTTGATCAAATTTAATAATAAAAAACGTGCATATCAGTAAAAGAATCTAAATTTTTTTCTTCGAAGTTTGAGCAAAATTATTATTTTTTTTGTTGATTTTATATGTCAAAATTGTTTTTTTTTATTGTTAAATATTTAAAGAGTATCTTATTGTAAGTTCTTTTTTTTTGGTAGAATATTTTTAGAAATTCTAACACTTTAGGCAGTGTCACTAATTAATATTTTAATGTAATCAAGCAAAACATTGTATACAATATAACATCAAAGATTGGCAGTTCACATCTTACTTTTCAAAATATTTAGATTATAGTAATGGTTGCAAATTTCAAACACCAACCACCCCCATTAGCATAGCAAGTTGCACATGTCTAAATATATTTTCTATCGATTTTTTTATATCATGTAACAAATCAAGAGTGGCTTGTACTACAGAAAATTTAGCGTTAGCAAGTAACCTTCGTTTGTTTGATACAAGGAAAAAAAAAAAAAAAAAAAAGCAACCCTAAACTCTATATATAGTACATTTAATTCACCAACAATATATTGGAAACAAACAGAAAGAAAAGAACAAAAAAAGAAAATATGGCCACGAAGAGCAAAGTTCTTGTGGTGGGTGGTACTGGCTACATAGGGCGGAGAATTGTGAAGGCAAGCCTAGCGCAGGGCCACCCGACCTTTGTCCTTCAGCGGCCGGAGATCGGGCTCGATATCGAGAAGTTGCAAATGCTTCTTTCCTTTAAGAAGGAAGGAGCTCATCTTGTTGAGGGTTCATTTTCTGATTTTCAGAGCCTTGTGGATGCGGTGAAAAAGGTTGATGTTGTGATATGCACCATGTCGGGCGTGCACTTTCGCAGCCATAACATTTTGTTGCAGCTCAACCTAGTTGAAGCCATTAAAGAGTCGGGAAATATTAAGGTACGTTTTATAAAGGATATTAAGTGTATAGTTTTGTTGGTTCGCGTTCTTAAGAAAAATTGGCAGATCTTGATATTTTGAGAAAAAATTTTCTGATCAATATTACAAGTTTAGAGCTGGAAGAGGTTAAATAATAAGAAAGTCTAAATTTTGCTCATAGTTTGCTTTTTTTTTTTTTTTTTTTTTTGTTGTTTTATGCTTAATTTTGTTTTGTTTTGTTTATTTATTTATTTTTTAAGCTTTTTCTCAGTTTAGTTTTGTAAGAGATTTTTCTTTTCTTTTCTTTTAATAATTTAAAAAAAAAACAAAATCCAGTTTCGGATTATTGTTTAGTTTATTGGATTTTATCATTGTTATAGAAAGCATCTTGCCATCACTTTTGTTTTCTTTTTCATCTTTTGCTTGCTCCTTCTAATAGTACTGGTTCCTATTTTCTAAGCTAATAAGAAGATACATATGCCTGAATGACTTGAGCCACTATTAAAATTTACTTCATCCTAGAGGTAGTATCCTAAAAACATTGTTAATATATAATTTTATACATATAAAAATATGAACCTTCTCCGGTACGTCAACATACCGGTAGGTCAGGTTTTTATCCGTTAAATCTTCATAAATTCACGTAAAAATTAAAAAGTACACAGATCTAACGGTTAGATAAACTTGAACTACCGATACGCCAGACATACTAAAGAATTTCTCATAAAAATATTATTAGTAATTATATCTTTGTCTTCTTTCTTCTTTTTCTTCTTCTTTTATTTTTTAGCCTAAAAATTCATCTTACGTTTTTAGATTAAAAAACAAAATTCGTTGTACGTTATTCACTGATCAAGTACAATTTCACGACAATCACAATCACTTGTATGATCACTTCATTATTGTTCAACACTACCAATAGTGTTAGGTGCCTTAAGGCATATCGTAATTAGTTGCTAATGATAGAAAGGACATGTAATAATTTA